TTTCTTACATCATTGGCCTTTTAAAACAATACAAATGCCTTTAATTTATTTGGCTATTACATTGAATATAACGGGCACTTTGTTAGATATAATGTTGACTGAACCATTGTCACATACATTAGAACAATTACACATTAACTTATGTGATGGATCTTATCTTATAGATAGTTTAGGTGCTATACGTCTTTTACCCCGAATGAAAGCTTTACATACATTTAGTTTTGTTAAATCATATAATTGGGATTCGATTGTTGAATGGACATTTGTTAATCTATTAACTTCTTCTAATATTATGCCTGTTTTACGACGAATGAATTTTTCTCTTGTTATTAGTGTTGATGATCTTATTCGAATGAGAAATTCAGCACTTTTTACAGATTTTCGTCATATTGATGTTCATTATGCATTTATTATCAATGATGATCGTCCACATATAGAACTTCTTAATTATGTACCATGTGGTAGTCAATCTCATCCTCGTCAAATAGCTAGTGCAACATTTATTTCTGATTGTTGGCCTGATAATCAACCATTTAGAACTCCAAGACAAAATTATGTAAGTTTTCATTTTCTTAAAGATTATTTCAATATTAGACTTGTCTCTTAAAAATACTATGTCTATTTTGTTTTTAGTTGACGAAATCGAAAAATCGACAACATCTATTCTATAGTTTACCATGGATTTTTAATGAATTTTTTCAATTAAGTGTTCCAGATAGATGTATTAGTGAATTAGAAGTATTTATATCTTCTTCAATTACTAAAATTCATTCGTCTCATTTAATTAAATTAAATATGTCAGACAATCTTGCATCATCTACAAGTTTCTTCTCTCAAATAATGTCTTCAAATAAGATAATGGAACTTCATTTATATCGATGTAATAGACAAGTATCTATGAATTTACCGAATGTTTCTCATCTTATTCTTATTGATAGTTTGGATTCATTGAATAGTTCTTCACTTTCATTAAATATTCGGTCTATTCAAATCATTCTTCATTATCAATGTCTTAGTTTTGCAGGTGGTGATTGGACTGCTTTACATTCACTCTCAACTTTACCATTATTAAACTCTTTACGTATAATTTTATATGGTATGCATATTCCTCCAGATGATACAAATTGTCAAATTATTGCGAAGATAACACCAAAGTTATTGGATTTCTCTTTTTGTTTTCGACGTATTTATTGTCAAGATTCGTATGATATTGATGCAGCATACAAGAAACATTGTTTATTTATCAAACAATTACGAAATTGTATTCTTAATTTATCATTAAATAAACAAGCATATGTTTTTGTTGAAAAAGATGGTTGTGGACTTATTATATGGTTTTGATTGATTGAACTATTTCATCTCTCGTGTCTAATATCAATATTATTATAAATAGTTAATAAAAAGCTTTAACAAACAAAGAATGACCACTAATATTATTCTTCCTATAAAACATAAGCTATGTCCTATTGATTGTTTGAAAGATATTTCAAAAACAAGTTCTTGCGATAATGTACAAGTTAAATATGCGATATTAAATGTTCAAGAACAGAAATAAAATATATTAGCTTTGACCAAATCAAATTTAAAATCAAAATTTGATTATAAAAGGTTTAATATACCCCTTCAGAGTTGTAACCGGTATGAGTCATTCCTTTGTTTTCTGACATTATAAGACTTAAATCGCCCCCTGGATGAGTCATATTTTCCTTTTAATCACTACAGGCATTATATAAAAGTACTGTTTCACCACTATAGTACTTTTTACTATTTGCTTTATGTGTTTTCTGTTTCGCGACATCTATTGGTGAATAGAAAACTTCATACGACTATAAAGTCTATGTTAATTTTGCGCTTTGATTAACTATTCCTCAGATATGGACACTATTTATTACTTGTATACTTAATCTACGTTCCATACTATACTTGCTTTGTCATCTTTCGTGTCTATGAGGAATATGTGCAATAAACAATAGCAAGTACAAATAAATCTATGATAAACTATAATGTTAAATAATTATTCGATTTTGTTTGAACAACAGGACGTGATATTCACGTGGATTGGGCAAATATAGAAAAAGACTGTGACAAATTTTGACTTGAGAGAATATTTGATGCAAATTTTTATATCAAGATGGTCTTCGACATTAGTAAAAAGTTTCTCATTGTCGAAAAAACCCGTCTTTTTGATGATTTTTGCGGAAAAAAATAAAGAGAAAATTCAAAAAAAAATCCAGACCGGGCCGATAAGGAATCTTCTATCGGACCGATCGGTTTACCGGTTCGGTTACAACTGTAATACTCTCCAAACAGGCATAATCCATATATCATACCGAGATATAGTGTGAACAACAACCGAGAAAAATCGACTTTTCAAAAAATCATTATAATATTCCCAATATAAATAGTACTCATCGTTAGCTACAAATATCCTATAGTGACGATTTGAAAAACTCATATCCATTATCATTTGGTATTGACACATTACTGAAAATTTGTGGAAATTTCCTGATAATGAACATCAAGTGTCCTTCATCTCTATAGTTAAAAAAGTGGAAGGCTTTTTTTTAGAATAAAGTAAGACTTAATAATAGTTAGAAAACTGTTCGATTAGAAGCTTGAAAAAGAAAGACGTATTTTCTGTCGTTTGTCAATGACATATAATGGAAATGATAAGAAAATTGAA